AGCTTCTGCTTATAAACTTATTTAGGGCTGCAGCCCTTCCAGTTAGCATCTGCACCTATTTTGCCGACGTTGGGCTCTTCAACTCTAGGATGGCCTTGATCTGATCTGGGCTGGCCTCAATGCCCTTTTTGGTCACTAGGTATCTTAAAAACTTACCAGATCCAACTCCAAATGCACACTTCGATGCATTGAGTCGGAGCCGATATGTTTTAAGGATTTCAAAGACTGCTTTTAGATCGGTGAGATGACCCTCAGGTTCCTTGGTCTTAACGACCATGTTGTCGATGTAGACTTCTACCGTTCGGCCAATCAGGTGTTTGAACATCTTGGTTACTAATCTTTGGTAAGTGGCACTTGCGTTTTTCAACCCGAAAGGCATTACTCTGTAGCAGTACAACCCTTTGGGAGTGATAAACGCAGTCTTCTCTTCATCCGCGGGTTCCATAGCTATCTGGTGATACCCCCTATAGGCATCCAGGAAGTTCATCCTTCCATACCCCGAAGTGGTATCCACTAACTGGTCAATCTTGGGTAGAGGGAAGCTGTCTTTGGGACAGGCTTTGTTGAGGCTGGTAAAGTCTATGCAGACCCTCCATTTACCGTTCTTCTTCTTTACCACCACTGTATTGGATAGCCATGTCGGGTAGTGAACTTCTCTAATGGCCCTGGCCTCCAGAAGTCTATCTACTTCTTTCTCTACTGCTTCGACGTGTGCCAACGTCGGTCTTCTGGCTCGTTGAATTATAGGTTTGGCCGACCTGTCAACATTCAGTTTGTGGCAAGTGACCTTGAGGTCAATGCTAGGCATTTCATAAGCTGTCCAAGCAAACACCTCAATATTTGCTCTTAAAAAAGCTTCTAACTTTTTTTTTCTCTTCTTCGGATAAGCCCGAACCGAGAAGAAAGAAGCGTTCTTCATCCCCATCTTGGACGAGGATTTTCTTCAGTGTCTCTTCGCTCTTCTCGGCTGGCTCCTTGCCGACATCATTTAGGACTTCTATGTCCTCATCTTCAATTTCTGCCTTTTCTGGCTCTCGGATGCTGTAGGTAGATTTCATTGCTGCCATGGAGCAATTCTTCGCCTGCAGCTGATCGCCTCTGACTTCCTCTATCCCCTGCTCTGTTGGGAATCGCAATAGTTGATGCAATGTTGAGGGAACTGCCCCCATCCCATGCAGCCATGGCATTCCCAAGATGATGTTGTAAGGGGAGGGTGTGTCGATGATGGTGAATTCTGTCTTGACCTCCCTGGTGACAGCCTACACCTCCAAGCTTACTGTTCCCAATGGCCATGTCGGCGTTCCATTGAACCCAACCATTAGGCCATTGGATTGTTCCATATCTGGGTGAAGGCCGAGCTCCTTGTAACATCGGATGTACATGATGTCACAAGAGTTGCCTTGGTCAATCAGGATGCGTTTCACTTGGCACTCCCCAACCTGGAGGGATACTACCAAGGCATCATTATGCGGATGCTGGACCATCTCTAGGTCGGCTTCAGTAAAGGTTATCATTGGTCCCTAGCACTCTTCTACCCTATGTCTTTTCTCCCCGACTTGGTAGACATGTTGTAGGTGTTTTACCTTCTGGGTCTCTCCTTGGATTTTGTTTTTGTTGACCTTCGAGCGGATTACGTTGATTACCCGAGGTCCTCCTGCCTACGGCTGCTGTACTGGGAGAGGTGGGACTGCTCGAGGCAATCTTGCCCGTTCTTCTCTTGTCCTGGTCTCATCGACAAGGTCTCTCAGATGTCCTTGTCTCACCAGGTCTTTCAAGTGTGTTTTCAAGGCTCTTCAACCCTGAGTTGTATGCCCATCTTCATTGTGGTAGGCACAATGCCTGCCAATGTTTCTTCCCATGAATTCTCCTGGCGTCCTCTCTGCCGTTTTGAAATAGGGCTGGTTCCGAATTTGATCCAGGACTTTGTGAATTGGGATTCAGAACACAGTCGTCACTGCCTGCATAGCCCTCAGTTCTACTTCTTGCTTGTTCGATCCATTGTTGCCTTGGCCTCGCTTCGGCGAGCTGTTTCCTTTCTCCTGCTTTGTCTCCTTATTTCCCGACGTATCTTCCTTGGCTCTGGCATACTTCTCGATTTTGGCCATGAGTTCCTCTATATTTTTTGGCAATGTCTTTGCCAATGACTTTCGTAGTGGACAGTTATCTTTCAGGCCGTTCTTGAAAGATACGACTGCCACCTCTTGATTACATTCAGGTATTCGGTTGAACACCTCGTAGTATCTTTTGGTGTTGGCCCTAAGGCCTTCATCTTTGCTGATCTTCAGAGCCATCAATGCGTCCACTCTTAATGATTGAAGTTTGTTTGGCACGAACCTGGCCACAAACATCTCGGCCAGGCCTTCCTAGGTCTTCACACTTCCCTTTGGTAGTTTGTGAAACCAATCTGATGCAATCTCCCCGAAAGACGAGGGGAACACTTTGCAGAGCAATGACTCGTTCCCACTATACAATGCCATTGAGTTCAGGTATAATCCAAGTTCGGATCTGATTTACCGTCATAGATTTGAAACCTCGGCATACTGAATCTTTTGGGTGGTTCAAATTTGTCCAGTTCCGCCGAGAAGGTTGTCTTTGGTTTCACGGGGGAGTTTACCTCGGCTTCTCCATTCTGTTGCCTCCTCTTGAGGTAGTCCCTTAGGTCTTCCTTGCTCCTCCCTGGAGCTCGGCTGTCTCTGGATTTTAATCTTTTTGGCACACTGCTTTCGGTCTCGAGGTGGGTCCGTTTGGGTCTTTCTTCATGGGTTGTGTCAAAGTGAAGTATTTGCCCCTGAACGTGTCGATGTTCTTTGGGGTCTGGATTCTTCATGCGTTGCGTCCTTCGGGACTCCTCTTGCCTCGGTTTTTCTCGCCCGACTTCCCCGGAAGGCCGGTGAGAGTGCCTTCCGCTCCTGGTATGCTGAGGGACTTCGGGGATTGTTTTTCTTCCACCCTTCTGGGTGTTGGTCGCTGGTATTGGTGTGTCTTGCAGTGGGTATGGTGGCTGCATGACATTATTTTGCATCATGAAGTTGACGACTGACTGAAGGTCTGACAACTTGTTCGCCAGTTCTTTTACTTCCTCATCTCTCCGTAGGCATCTGTCCCTCCATACCTGGAGGTTATCTTCATTGTAGTACTTTCCTTGGTTTGTCTTTTTTGTTGTGTCGCCTTCTGGGATGTCGTCATTCCCTCTGTAACCCTGGTTACGGGCTTCTGTGTTGTGGTTGTCATCTTCAACGTCAAGATCAATTGGTCTGCCACTCCCAGTGGGAGCGACATCCCCAGTTTTTTCCTGCTGTCCGTTACTGGCCATCTATTCTTCCTTCGATTCCCACAGACGGCGCCAAATTGTGTGGGTAAAAATCTGACCACACTGCCCGTTTAGTGATCAGCAGCAAAGCACCGGCAGAATAGATGGCTCCAACAACCTGTAACAGAAAGGAAAAGCTCCGGCGGTGGTTCTTCCACCCGGGGGCACTCCGACGATCAAGTCAGTATATCTCTCAAAGATAATCAAGTACTAAACTGAATACTCAAAGTATAAATTACATACCTTAGACCCACGGGGGTGCCTCTCTTTTATAATATACTCAATCCAAGTCCCACTAGAATATGACTTCTATGAACTCTAATTCACTGTTTACTCTGGACTCTTTTAAGTGATAAAGATAAACTCCTTGAGAGTTGTATCCTTATCTTGATTCAGTCTCCCTTGTGCCTTAGGATTCTTGCCCCTTATCTCGGATTCCGATATCTTCGGAGATGACCTCGGCTTCTCCGAGATTACCTCGGCTTAACTACCAAGACACGTGGCACCTCGGCTGACACGTCGGCGTCTCCATGCCACGTGTTGGTACTAGAAAATATATCCCCACACAGAACAATATCATGAAGCACTATGAATTAATGGTCATGGCTGTTCAATCTCAGCAGCCTGTGTATATGTGTGTGTGTGTGTGTGTGTGTGTGTGTGTGAGCCAAGATTTTCTTCTTTCAGCCGGCGTGTTCTCTTCGGAGAACAAGGCTTCGGTCGTACTCTCCCATGCGTATGAGCTGTTATGCATATCTAACCGTTCCCTTTTATGTGTTCTGTTTTCGTTGGAGCGTGTTTGAGACGCGCCTGGAAGCTGTCTGTTCGTTCGTCTTGCGCCGTCTGACGCGTGCGTTACCCTAGGTGTAATGATTACCCTAATTTTGCCGCCGTTTCAAATTTTTGACAAAACTCTTTTTTGCCTCTATCTATCTTTTTTTCACTTTTTCATTCCGTCTTCTTGCTCTTTCTCTCTCTGAAAGCTCATTCTTCTTCGAATCTGCCATCGCCTCAATCTCTCTTCTGGATTTGCTTTTAATCCCTCATTCTTGCAAAGCCTTCTTTGCCGTTGCAACCGGTTTCTGGGTTCGGCGAGCATTGCTTTGGCTTCATTTGTCCTGGTAAGACCCTTTCCTTTAATTCTTCCATTCTTTTTATGTGCTTTTGTCTGTCTGTCGCCATTACTGATCTTGTTCGAGGTCTTGGTTTTACTTGCATCTTGAATTTGTGGCTATGCCTTGAACTTCTATGCTTTTTTCATCATTCTCTTTACCGCTATTCTTGATTTGTTTCTGTATCTCTATTGTTTCTGAGAACTATACCTCTATTCTTGAATCTGAAACTTCGTCTTTGTTTTCTCTTTTTTGTATCTGCCCCAGATCTGTGCCCTCGATTTTTATCTTCATTCTTCATAGATTTGGGATTTGTCTATAGAACCCTTAATCTTTAGGGAAACCTAAAAAACGCCCATCTTCTGAAACATATTCCTCTTAGTTTAAGCCGACATAATGGGTATGTGGAGGCATAGGGTAAATACCCCAACAAAACTTGAATACTTTAGGCAAGAATTCTCTATCCCAGCCGACGTTCATCTTAAGCTGGCTGGGGATAATGATACCATCATGCCCACAGACCACACAATGCCTTTTCCAATAGTTGCTTTTACCGAATGTGGACTTCGGCTAATTCTGAGAAATCCAGCTCTTTCTCTTCTACCCCGTTAATTTCAAATAACAAGTGTGGTACAAAGTATTATTCATAACTAATATGCAAAAGTGATTAAATCAACATTAAATTAAATGAAAAAATTCACTTGGTGGGTTAGCTGCTGCCACAAGCCATCAATAATAAAGTACTGTCAAAACAAATTATTATTCCAACTCTGCTCTTACCGAAATAAACCAATGCCATACCAGCTTGGTGGGTTAGCCGCTGCCACAAGCCATCAATAATAATAGTCCGCCTGGGTAAATTTGCACAAAAGAGTAAGTAAGAAGAAAAAAAGAGCTAAGCAAAAATTTGTAATTGATGATTTGAATATAGCTTGGCTAAGTTCCTAGTCTTCCAAACTTTCACCATTGCCATTGCTTACTCAAAAACATAAAACACCTGCATATCAAAATGATCAGAAACAACATAATAGTGGAGTGAGAATAATATTTTAAAATGTCTAATTGATCAGCTATATGTATCTTTTTTCATAATTTCACTATCTAAAGAATTATACAGTTAATTAAATTTAGAAAAAAATATTGTATTTATCAATAATACTAATCTGATGCCACTAACAGGCAGTCTAGTACTTACCCCAAAAAAACAGGGAGCTGGTGAGTGGTCCTTTAATTTGAAGGGACATTGCAAGTGTTCATTGATTGCATGCTGATTTGGCTTTTTCTTTGGGAATGGCCCATTTCACTACCTTGCAAGTCATAATCATTGGCTTTATTAAAGTTAAAGAAGATGGGGGAATAAATAAAAGCAATGCAAATCCCAAATCTTCCCAAGATGGTTTAGTTCACTGTTGAGAGAATTTAATTGAATCGTATAGTTGAAATGATACTAAATGCTAAGGGAGGGAGATTATGTGGAATTCCTAATTCATCACAAAGAGAATGAGATTGATATATAATGTATAATTTTATTAATAAATTGAATATAACAACAAAATATTTAAATCTTTGCACATAAATATATGTATGCATGCATATGAAGTTAAATTTGTCCTTACAAACCCTTTAAATGTGCCATTGGCATGAAATCTAGATTTGTTGTTAGATAGTGACCATAGGTCATGCGATGCATTATGCATATAATTTAATAAAGATTGTATCCTTCAATTATGTGTCAAGATGCAGCAAATCTATCATACTTGTATCAATTTTATGTCTTATCTTCAATCTTGTAGATCTTTTACACTTTTCTTTTTTATTTATTTATTTTATATATTGTAGATCTTTACATGTGAACATGTGATGCAACATTCAAAAGAAGTGAATGTTTTGAGGGAACAATAGTTCATCTATTTAGAGACAGTTTTCAGAAAGGATATCAGTCTCTTTTGGCACTTTTGGTATGCCAATTGGAACCATCAATATTTAAACAGAAGATTTCTTCAAAATTAAGACCCCATTAACATGTGCCATAAAAAATTCTTATTGTCAGCCTCAATGCTTTATTAGGGCTTTGAATACATACACAATCAAGGAGTAGCCATACATGCAAAGACATACACAGTCGATGGATTAGGGCTTTGAAACTAATGAAAGACAACGGAAAAAGTGGGGGAAATGTATCAAACGACTAAAATCAAACCCATATTTAGGACATCATGTTGGAAAATTTATAAAGAGGTAGTTGTGAATTGAAATAGACTCCATTTTGAATGAAAGGGTGAAACCTTTCATGGTGTCTCTTTATTTTAAAGGAAGGGGTATGTCCCTTCTTCATACCTTTTCTATTCAATTTGAATAGGTTTCTAGATACAAATGGTGTGATTCAGTTTTCTTTTGTACCTATTCATTTACAAATTCTACCTGTTACTATTTATTTTTCAGCAGTCCATGGTGTTCGAAAAACACAGTCTGAGTTTTAGTCTGCATTTTTTTTTTGCTGTCCAACTTTTATTTAGGAGATTTTCCTTCATTCTAGTTTTAGGAAATTACAAAGAGAGTATAGAACACAGGTTCTAGTTCGTCGAACAAATTTATTTGAAGTGCCTTTATAAATTTGTGAAGATCATTGTATCCTAGGAGATAGACGCCACTCAACCGTAAGTACCTTAGCGGGGCGAATCTGTCTTAAGGACAGAGTGTCACACACTCGACTTGGTCTTAATTTTAGTTCGGTTCGATAAATAAATTTGGTATGTTATTTATTTGTTTTGTTTGAATTTATTTCTAGTTATTTTATTTTACACAGAAGATTGTTCCAACACATCAAACCCATAGAACTTCAAAAATCAAACCACAACAGCCAAACCCATTTCACAAATCATCACCAAATTAAACTGAATCAAGTATATAATACCCTAGAGCAACTGTCAGAAAGGGGAAAATAGAGGAAGAGAGAGAGAGAGAGAGAGAGGGAGAGATTGAAATCCAGAGACAGAGAGAGAACCTGTGATCTGCGGTGGTAGCGGTGGTGATTTACGGCGGCAGCGGTGTGCGACGTACGGTGAGTGACGGTGGTCTGCGGTGCGGTGAGGTGAGGTGGGGTGAGGTTTGGTGGTGAAGGAGAATCTGTGTGAGAGAAATTTAATCGACCTTTGGCGCCAATATCAAATAATTTCCCTCTAAAATTTTCCCACCTTTAGTGACAAATTTGGTTTTTTGTCGACAAATGTTGATAATTGGGGAGTAACACATTTTGTAGCCAAAGCTTAATCAACGGTGACTAAAATATTAATTGCCAAAAGTATTAATTTGGCGACTAACTTTTTTTTTATCAGAAAAAACGAATATATAACTACTAATTTTTTTTTTTAGTCACCAAAACTTAATGTTTATCAACGAAATTGTTTGGTCGCCAGAGAGTAACCACAAAATATGATTGTTATTTGGCAACTAAATTTCTTTTTGTGGCCAAAAAATATTATATGACGACTAAAAATAAATTTAGTAGCCTAAAATCTACACTAACAGTGACTAATATTTTTTTAGTCGCCTATTATGGAATATTTAGCGACTAAAACTTTTTTTAGTCGCCAATAAGTAATATATCTCGACTAAAAAAATCTAGTAGTTATATCCTAAACCAACGCCAACTAATACATTTTATAGTCGCCAAAAATATCACTTTTGATGACTAAATTCCTTTTAGTAGTGAAATTTAATCGTCAAAGGTGTAAATTATTGTAATTCTTTTTTTTAAACATGATGTAAATAAAGATGGACTCACAAGAAAGCAATTGCGACTGGACCTACAGCGATTTGTTGTGAGCCCGTGAGGGCTTTTTCTGAGTCTTTTTTGATGATCCGAACCGTCATATTGTAGGGTTCATCGAGTATATCTTTCATACAAAAAAATCAAGTTAATCAGAAATCCGTAACCCCATGATTAGATTCAAATTGTTTTATAAAAATTATCGAAATAATGTTAACCGTTTATTTTTTTAAAACAAATGTACTATTATTATAAAGTAATAGATTTCCAATCAATTTGATTTTTTGCATAGATGATCTATTTTACAGACCCTACAATATGACGATTCAAATCATCAAAAAAGACTCTAAAAAATCCTCCACAGGAAAAATCCTCCACAGGAGCACAGTAGGTTGCTGCTGTAACTAAGTCACAGCAGCACCCCAGGTTCATTGCGACTACAGAGGCTCCCATGACCCTATAAACACACACACAATTATCCAGTCTAACTTGCTTATTTTTGGTTTTTTAAAAACACTTTTTAGAAATTTATCTTTCTTGTTTTCCTTATTTTTTTGTTTTTATTAAATTTTTTAAATATTTTAACCACTTTTTTTTTTTAATTTTAGACACACCTAACATAAATATACATAAAAAATATACTTTTTGTGAAAAAAAATCTTTTAAAAATTCAATAAATACCAAACATATAAAATAAAAAAAATATAGGAATTTCATATTTTTTGTTTTTTTGTATTTATTAATTTTTTAAAATATTTTTTTACAATTTTTTTATTTTTTAAATACATTTAAATGAGGTGCATCTAAATTTTTTTTAAAAAAATACTTAACATTTTAAAAATATTTACTAAAAACAATAAAACACGAAAAACAAAAAATTTAATTTTCAAAAAACTTAATAAAAAAACTCAAACCAAACACACAAATTTAAAACTGGCAAGTTGAACCCGTACCTGTTAACCCGCCCGCAATTTATAAGGGTTAAACCCCGTTAATCTTGCGGGTATAAATGGGTAGTGAAGGGTATAAGTGGGTAAAAATGCCAAAATTGTCAACGAACCACAAGTTCAACCCGTACCTGTTAACCCGCCGGCAATTTATAAGGGTTAAACCCCGTTAACCTTGAAGAGTTTCATCTTCCCTTCAAGGAGAAGCTTTAGCTTGCAGGTGTGCTTGTCAATTGGCACAAGCCCGCAACCTGAATATGGTGGAGATCGAAGGGGATAACAAGACCGTAATCTTCTTGTGTGTTTCTGAAACTGATCGGCCTTGGGATTGCAATGTGTTAATCGGCGACATCAAGCGCTTGGCTGCGCATGGAAATTTGGCCTTCAGTTGGAAGCCTCGAACAGCAAATCAAGCAGCTCATTGGATGGCCGAAGCTTCTCTTCACGGAGTTCTTCCGCTTGATTGGGTCCCAAATCCACCCTCTGCTCTAGCTCTGCTGCTACAAGAGCATTGAGTTTTTTGTTACTTTCTGCTTGTTGTCTTTGTTTCTCTACTTTCCTGGTTCAAAAAAAAAACCCCCCCGTTAATCTTGCGGGTATAAATGGGTAGTGGTGTGTATAAATGAGTGAATGCCAAAAATATCAACGAACCACGCCAGTCATAGGCCCTGTTTGGTAGGGCTTATTTTTAGCTTATTTCAGCTTTTAGCTTAATTTAAGCTATTTTGGTGTATTTGGTTCAGCTTAACAATACAGCTTATAGCTTTTTGTAAATCAAAAATCAACTTATTCTTTAAGTGGGGGAGGAGAAGCTTAATTTATAAGTAAAAAATCAGCTTATGTTCACAGTTATAAACTATAAGCTGTTAGGCTATAAGTTATAATAACTTTCTCACAGCTCTACCAAACGGGGCCATAGGTAAAGTCTTGAACTGTGCCCGCTTTATTGGACAAGTCTACCCTAGCGAACTTACCACCACATGTGTTGAGGTATATTTATGTATTATTTATTTATAATAGTTGTGTTAAAATAAATAAAAAACCATCAATGCACAAATTTAAAATATTATGAAGGGTAAATTAGAGCATCTCCAATGGTTAACCTTTTTTTTCATCAAATCTGAGTTAAAAAAGGACAATTTTCTCAATCTGATACAGGCTGCTCCAATGGTTGTCATCAAAGGCAGGGGTCGACCGGTTGGTCAACCGGCTGGACGTCCAACCGGTCGACCGGTAAGGCAAATATATATATTTTTACTTGTTTGAACCTGAATATTTGAACTGTTTGAACCTTTTACCGGTCGACCGGTTGGTCGACCGGCTGGACGTCCAGCAGGTTGACCGTGGCCCCACTTGCAACGTTATAGCACAGTGAATTGGTGAAGACTCACGTATTTTCTCAATTTGATGAAAAAATTGCTCTGTTCTCAGTTTGATATCGGTTTGGTGAAACCATTGGAGCAAAAGAATTGACTTTTTTCATCAAATTCAAATTTGATATTGAATTTGGTTCACCGTTGGAGATGATCTTATACTTACATTTTTGAGGTTTTTGATAATTACAAGGGTCTTTCTTGAGATTTTAAAAATTACACTGACCTCTCTTACTTTAACTAACAATATACAAAAACTTTCATTATGTTGACTTTTCCCTAGACATCATTAACTTTTGCAATGAAATGTCAAAAATAATCTCCATTTACTCTTTTTTTTCTTATCTCTTTTCCTTCACCAACCATACTTATTTCCCCTCCCACTTTGTAGTTGTCCTGGCCACTACTCCCTACCTGTAGCTCAATTTCTAAAGTTAAATTATTGTTTTTTAAAAAGATTGATGATACAATTATATATTTTTATGATAATTTTATGTTTTTTTATTGAAGTATTACTCATTAATTTGGAATATTATATAATCTATTATGATTGAGTAAGATTTTGATAAATAAAAAATAATACTACCATAAAAGTACATAACTCTGTCACAATTGTTATAACAAACAACATCTAATAATAAATTATCATCACACTATTGGAAAAGTAGATAATATTTGCTACAAAAATTTGTAATATTTATCAAAAAAAATACATAATAAAATGGTGTGGTGGTGGTAATTGTATCAATCAATTTCTATCCCCAAAATAACTGATACAAAAAAAAAAATGAAAAATTAACATGATTTAATTGTGTGGTAGGTTGAATAGTGATTTTGAAATCAAACCATTTGGGTTTAGTGTTCTTCATAGAACATGAATGTTTGATTGAAATAAACAAATAAAAAAATTGAAATGATGAACCTCAATTAAATGAATGAAAAATCAAAAGGTAGGAATTGAATTGATCAAATTTTTATTGTGAGTTGAGTGATTTTGGGTGAAAGAAGTTGTATGCACATAATCTGTAAATGTTAGAATTTTGCCCCCCCCAAAAAAAAAATTGAATACAGTAAAAATATAAGAAAAATGTGTATATTGTATGTATTTTATTAGGGAAATTCTATAATACGCACACTATTTTGGAGTGTGTACCATATGCCAAGTTATGGCATTTGTTGTTTTTAGTTATGACCTATTTTGGTGTTAGTGATGATTTGATTATGACTTATTATAGCGTTGATTACCTATTGTGATTATTATTTTGGTTATGATAGAAAAAGTATTTGATTATACCTTTTGTTGTGTTTCATTATAACTAATTATTCTTTTTAGTTATAACATTTGTAATAATCAGCACCATAAGTATCATAATTTGCATAAGTATGCATCACCCATTTTATTATGTAATTTTTTTTTTATAAATATTAAAAAAATTTGTACCAAATATTAACTAATTTTTTGATAGTGTGACGATAATTTATTATTAGATATTGTTTGTTATAACAATTGTGATACAGTTATGTACTTTTATGGTAGTATTATTATTATTTTTTATTTATGAAAATGTTACTCAATCATAATAGATTATATCATATTCCAAATTATTGAGTAACATTTCGATATAAAAAAAAAAAAGAAGAGAAGTCACACATTATCATAAAAATATATTAAAAAAATTTAATACATTAATTTCAATTTAGAAATTGAGCTACAAGTAGGAAGCAATGGGTAGGGTAGTTGCAAATTGGGAGGAGGAATAATTAATGGTTGATGAAGGAAAAGAGATAAGAAAAAGAGTAAATAGAGGGTATTTTGGCCATTTCATTGCAAAAATTAATGGTGTCTAAGGAAAAGTTAATAGAAGGGATGTATTTATATAGGGGCATTTACACTCAAGTTTTAATTTATGAATGTATAAGTTCTATTTAAGATTTTTTGAACCTTCAAGTCTCATTAAATTTTTAATAGTTGAAATTGCCATTCAAACAATGATTATTCATCATTTATGATTTTCTATAAAATAATATGATGATTTGATATT